CGTTTTCACCAATGTGGCCAGGCTGGTCTCAAACTCCTGACCTGAAGTGTGATCCGCCCACCTTGGCTCCCAAAATGCTGAGATTATAGGCGTGAGCCACCGTGCCCGGCCTAACTTAATTTAGTTTTTGAGACAGTCTCGCTCTGTCACCCAGGCTGAGTGCCAGTGGCGGCAATCATAGCTCACTGCAGCCTTGGAACTCCTACGCTGAAGGGGATCCTCCTTCCTGAGGCCTCCCAAGTAGCTAGACAACAGGAACATAATTATTTATTTTTTAGTAAGATGGGGTCTCACTATGGTGTCCCAGCTGCTCGAGCCTGGACCCTCAGTGATCTGCCCACACTCGGCCTCCCCAAAGTACCTGAATTCCAGGGTGTGGAGCCACTGTGCCTCAGCCTCCATTCTTTTCTTTTCCTTTTCTTTTTTTTTCTTTTGGACGGCAGTTCTTGCTCTCTCCCAGGCTGGATGCGCAGGGTTGGTGCGATCTCAGCTCACTTGCAGAGCTCCACCTCCAGGTTCCACCATTCTCCTGCCTCAGCTTTCCCGAGTAGCTGGGACCCACAAGCCACCCGCCACCTCTCGCCCGGCTAATTTTCCGTATTTTTAGAGAAACATTAGAGTAGAGACAGGGTTCACCGTGTAGCCAGGATGATTCTTGATCTCCCCGACTGTATCCCGCAACGCCACTCGGACACCTCCGAATAAAGAACGGGATATCGGCGTGAGCACCGCCACCCCGGCCCCGTGTGTGATTATTGTTTAGATGAACTAACTAAAAATTCCCTTTTCACCAGTGGCGGCCAGAATTTTGCATTACCCACACAACCAACATAAGACGGAAGAATGTCCATTCTCTCAGCTCCCCAAAAAGGTATACTGTCGAAGCTTTTAACTTCGACTACTGGATAAATTGCAAGACACGGTCATATTTTTCATACAGCATTCTCTCAAATTTTGAGTGAGGGAAATATTACTTTTTAATCAACAAGGAGATCAATAAAGCACCTCCCCAAATCCCTCCCTCACCAAATACCCTCCTTCCCATCCCTCTCTCCTTACCCTCTCTCCTTCTCCTTGCCCACACCATCCTTCCTTCCTTCCTTGACAGAGTTTTGCTCTTGTTGCCAAACAGCAGAGAGAGACTTGACTCACAGAGAGACACACAACAACATTCCCAGATTCAGCATCTCTGCTCAGCCCTCCCAGTAGATGGATTAACAGGTGTTGCCATTGACACCGCTATTTTGTATTTTTTGGTAGAGACGAGGTTCACCATGGTGGCAGGCTGGTCTCAACAACACATAAACACAAGTGATAACTTTCGCACTGGGC